TGACACTGAGATGTGCCCCACCCTCCAAGAAAGCTCTTGCTGCTCAGGTACAAAGAATATGGTAAGCTGACAGCCTCTAATTAGTATCTCCCTAGGTGTCCGCTGTAGCTTTCAAGCAGCCTTAGCCAATGACTGAGCAAGGTGGTGATTCCAGAGCCTGGCCACTTACACTGCTGGGCTAGCACAGGGTTTGACAGGTCTGCAGAGTCGTATGAACAATTCCTCTTGACCAATATTTCTCTCTCTCTCCTGTTCTTTTCACAGCTGCTACTCTCTAATAATTTTTTTTGTACCTTTAATTCTATTTCAGTGACTCAGAAGCAGGGATCCCAAGCCAGCACATGCTGCATAGCAAACAACCACAAAACCTCAGAGACATAAACATTAAGCATTTCTTACTACTTGTGAATTGACAGGCCAGCAGTTTTGTTCTTAGTTGCATGTGTGTGGTCAGCTGTTGGTCAGACAAGCAGCTCTGCTGTTCTCTGCTGGGCTCTTCAGGTGACTGAAGGTTGAGTGACCAGGTGGCCTCGACTTGGACAACTGGTCTTTCCTTCCCGGATGTCTCATTCTCTCACCTTGGCTTGTTCACGTGGAGGTAGAAGTCTTCCAAGAGGACAAGCAAGGCCTCGTTAGGTCTAGACTTGGAATTTGCAAACTGTCAGTTCTGCCGTACTCTATTTATTGGTCAAAGCAAATGTCAAAGCCAGTCCAGCTTCACGGCGCAGGAGATGGAAAGTCACATTATACAGTGTATAGGTAGGGAAGAGACAATGGAGAAATTATTGCAAGACATCTACCATAAGGAGAATTCCCTAGACGGAAGTGCATGAAACAGACAGAAACCATGCTATCTCAGTCTACAACATTTTTTTTGCTTTTTCTTTTTAAGAAAATACTACAAGTTTAAAAGCATACAGAAGATATAGAGAATAATATAATAGGCCACCTATGAATGAAACAGTCTACTTATCTTAGAATTCTCTCATATTTGGTTCAGATAGTTTAAGAAACAAAACTTTGAAGATACTGTACTTTTAAAATCCATTGCATACTCCTATCCATCTTTGCTTTTCATTTTTTGATGTCTTCAGCTGTAAATTTTAAATTCCAGATAGTTACTTTTTATTTAAGTAAAAAAAAAAAAAGACAAACTTGAGACTCATGCGGTGATTCAGCAGGACAAAAATGGAATTATATTCATTCAGTCATTAAACAAGCCTTTATTGTGCCTTCTATTTGTGAAGCCCTGTACTACATATGAATTTAAATAGTATATCCTTATTTTTCATAGTGTTCTACTTGCACACCATTGTGTTTCAAGCTATATATTCAGAGTGGAAAGTGTTCCTTTGTAATGGCGGCTATTCTTCAATATTTCTTACACAATTTTTTTCTTAATGCCTTCAAGCTTTGAAGGCGAATCTTGTTCTACTCTTACTCTGTACATTTGCATTCCAAGTTTCTTACCATTTTCCTTCTGTGGGTTTGGCTCTTGTTACATCACCGGGATGGGCTGGACGTTTGGCATGTTTATTTGGTTGCTAGTCGGCCACACCTTTGATTTTCTTTCATGCGATTAAATTGTCACTGCTTGTAAATCCTATCTGGTTTCTCTACTTCAATACAATGACTTCAGAGTACAGTCCTCTTCCTGGTCTTTGGTTTCTTGTTTTCACAGTGAGTAGGTTATAATCTCCCCACCCACCCACCCAAATAACAGCTTTATTGAGATATAATTTACATGCCACAAAATTTACCCTCGGTATATTCACAGAATTATGCAACTCTGTCTGATTTTATAATATTTTCATCACCTCCAAAAGACATCCTGCACCTATTAGTTATAACTCCCCATTATCCTCTGCACTGAGCAACCCTAATCTACTTTCTGGATTAACCTATTCTGGACATTTCATAGAAACAGATCATAGACCACCACAATTTTTTGGTCTTTGGCTTCTTTAACTTTGCATGTTTTCAAGGTTCATCCATGTTGTAGCATGTGTTGGTGCTTCGTTCCTTTTTATGGCTAAATAATATTCCACCGTATGGATATGTCACTATTTGTTTATTCAGTCTACAATCGATGGAACAATTGGTTGTATCCACTTTTTGGCTGTGATGAATAATGACACTGTAAGCATTCATGTATAAGCTTTTGTGTGGACATATTCTAATTTCTCTTGGGTATATACCTATGACTAGAATTGCTATAATGTATAGTGAATTTATATTTAACTTTTTGAGAGCTGCCAACCAAGGTGACTGTACTGTTTTACATTTCTACCAGTCATGCATGAAGACTGAAATTTCTCCACATTCTTATCAAGATTTATTTGTCTGTATTTTTTTATTTTAGCCATCCAGTAAGTGTGAAGCAGTGTCTCACTGAGGTTTTAATTTACATTTCCCTAATGATATTGAACATCTTTTCATGTTCTTATTGACCTTTGTAACCTTCTTTTGAGAACAACCATTTTTAAATTGGGCTAATATTTTTTTAATCTTCATCCAAAGATATGTTTATTGATTTTAGGGAGAGAGGAAGGGAAAGGTGGTGGGGGGGGGGGTAGAGAGAAACACACCCCTATTGGGGATCGAACCTGCAACCTAGGTATGTGCCTGAACTGAGAGCTGCACTCACAACCTTTTGGTGTACAGGGACAATGCTCCAAGCAATCGAGCCACCAGCTAGGGCTGACCTAATTAAAAAAAAATTTTTTCGGTTGCACATACAATTCTTTATATAGTCTGTATACAACTGCCTTATCAAATACATAAATATTTTCTTCATATTTTGAGGGCTGTCTCTTCACTTTCTTGATGATGTCCCTTGAAGCACAAGTTTATCATTTCTGCCAAGTATCAATTTATTATTTTTTGTCACATATATGTTTTGCTGCCAACCTAACAAACCATTGTGTACCCTAAGGTTACAGAGATATAATGTGTTTTTTTAAGAGCTTTATAGTTCAAGCCTTAACATTAAATCTATAATGATCTTAGTTAATTTTTGATATGGTATAAAATAGAGCTTTAAATTCATTCTTTTGCTTGTGAATATCCATTTGTAAAAACAATTCCTTTTTCACTGACTTACCTTGGCACTCTTATCTAAGGTTATATCTTTATTATAGAATAAAATTCACCAAATTTTGCCTTGTTTTGTGATAAACGCTATAGATCTTCCTCTGTCCATGGATAACTGGAAACATATTTTGTTCACTTAAAATGAGAAAACCTACGTGAAAAGCACCTACCACAGGCCTCAGAATAAATATTTTGCTTCTATTGAATCCCCCTATAGCACTTAGTGTGGTATTTGGCACAAAATAGTTACCATACACGCTTGCTGAATGTAAAATGGGCCTGAGCGTGCACTCCAAAATAAGGGTGTGGATTCTTAAAGCTCTGATTGTGCAGGAGACCCAGAACACTTCAGCCCTTTTCACGCTAAGAATCTGAAAGATCGTAGAGAGGACCCCAGCAGCTTTGTGAAGCAGTGCTGCTGTCAGGCCAGGGGCCTCCAAACGCTCAGTCATCCTTGAAGGTTAAGTGACAAATACGCTTTCACTTAGAGTGAACCCAAACCCTGAAAGTAACCCTAACGGCTTAGAACCTTTCTTCTTTTCTAGTTTAATTTCAAGATCTCCAGATGCCTACTTATTTAACTGCTTAGCAGTTAATAAAGCTTTCACTTGTGGATTTGACCTCAATTCTGCCTGAAAGAAGAAAGACTTTCTTAGGCGGCAACAACCACTGTTGGAAAGCAAAGAAAGAGGACTCAGGTATGGCAGGCAATCCTATGTTCAGGGACCCTTCTCTCCCCGGCTTTTTCTCCGACATGCTGAACGTCAGGACCTCTCACAGTGTCTCAGAAACAGCGCAGCGGGGTGAACACAGGGCTTGCTCACGCCTCCAGGGAGTGTCCTGCCGTTCAAGTCCAGGCAGTGTTCCTGTCTGCTGCTTGGGTATCTCTTTTCGAGGTTCCAGAATCTTCCCCCTCTCTGTGTGCAAGTGCTGGACCTAAAAGGTGTGCCACACGGACACACGGTAACTTGCTTGAAACGTTTTTCGGCGTCAAAAAACTGTCCCAGGAGCCGGTCTCTCGGCGAAGTGCCTCTCGAATCGCAGTTTCTGACTCCACAGCCAGTGCTCCTGTCGCTGCGCCAAATCGCCTCTAGGACATAATCAGGTTTGGGGCTCTCAGGAAGACATTTCCTTGTAGGGATGGTGGTATGTTTTTAAATCATTTTCTAAATTAAAACATTTAAAAGATAGACTTTCTATTTTAGAATAGTTTTAGGCTCCCAGCAAAAGGGAGCTGAAGACGGAGATTTCCCCCATAACCACGGCCCCGCACAGGCACAGCCTCGCCGGCCCCCCCCACCCCCCGCAGTGGTCCACTCTCCAACTGAAGGAGCTACAGGACACGCGCTCGCCCAAGGTCCAGTTTCCATGGGGGTTCACTCTCCACCTTGTACATTCTACGCGTAGCTTCCCTGTCCCAAAAATCCTCTGCGCTGTGGCGACGATCGATTTTAAAGGGCGAAAAGAGGAATGAAAAAGCAAATTGCGCAGTGTCTCGACCAAACTCCAAGCCGAGTTTGTTCCCAAGTTCAGCGGCTCCCAGCTGTCCCGTCTCTCCTAGTCCCGCTAGGGGCAGGTTCCTCCTCCTTTTGTTCAAGTGTCAAGCAAATGGGTTTCCTGTTGACACCGGAATACTGTGAAAGGGCAGGGAGAGGCCAGGCCACCTCCCCCCACCCCTGTTTGTTTATTTTGTGTACGTTGGTCTTGGTGGAGCGAGCTTGTGGTCCCAGCGTGTGTGACTCTGTGTGTGTGTGTGTGTGTGTGTGTGCACGCCCGCGGCGGGGGGGGGCGGGTGTGCTCAGTGGCTGGTAACCCCTCCCCGAGGAGGCGCAGCCGAACCCACACGGTCCCGGCTCCAAGTCCGCGGGGCGGGGAAGGGAAGGAGGAAGGGGGAAGAGAGTGGGAGAGCGAAAGCGGGGAGAAAGAGGCCGGTACGCTGGGAGGAGGAGGAGGAGGAGGCGGGGAAACCGGCTCGGCCTGCGCCAGGCCGCTCCCCCAGCAGCTGCAGGTGGAGCCCGCAGAGGTAGCCGATTCCGCCGCCGCCGGCGCCGCTGCTGCAGCTTCTTCCCCGGGGCCGCCCTCCAGGCCCCGAGGGTGCTGGCGTGGGGGCACCCGGTGCTGGTCCGCGGTCCCGCAGCTGCGCCTCCGCGCCTCGCCCATGGCTGAGGGCCGGCGGTGGGACGACGAGGAGGAAGAGCTGCGGGAGCTCGGGGGCTCGCGCCGCGCCCGGGGCCGTGCGCTCTCGGGCCACTCGGCCGCAGGTGAGGGGCGCGGGGAGCGTGAGGGGGGGACGCGGGACCGAGGGCCGGGCGCCCCGAGGCCGCCGGTCCTGCCTTGGAAGGCAGCGGCTTCCTCACCCGCCCGGATGAGACCCGCACCTTTCGGAGACTGGCTTATCCATCCTCGTTCTCACTTTTGGGCGGAGCCAGAGGAAATTCACACTGGTGTCTACCTGCCAGGGCCCAGGGGCCAAAGTACAAATTTTCCGTGTGCTCACTGACCCCTGGAGCTGCTGCCTCGGACCTTGTGGCCCAGGTGATTGCTTATCTCTGGGTGAGTCAGAGACCCGTGGAGGACGACACCCCTCTGGAGAGGTTTTCCTGGGCTGCGGCAGCCAGGTAGAACCACGTGCTAATAGTCTAGTCTGGTTTCGGTGTCTCCCAAGTTTGGACCCGAGACTTTGCTCCCTGCCCCCAACACCGCTGGAGCTCACCAGCCTCCCAGTCCAGAATAGAACATTCCAAAGGCAATTCATTTGGACAGACAGTCACTTATGGGCCTAAAATCACTTTTATGTGTTTTGGGAGTCACTAAGGCAGCGCAGATCAATAGTTTGGCGCATAAGTGTAACAGTGAATACATACAAATGGACACCCTTTCTCTCTTCCCAGTGGCTTTTCAAACATAATAGGAATTCTTTGGCCTTTGGTTCTAACTGGATAGCCTTGTCTGACAGAGAAGAAACCTGGAAAATTGACTACAGAAGGGAGGTGGAGAAATGAGAGAGATGAGTACAATTCGTTATAGTGTCTTTAGAAAGTGAAATACAGTGAATATTCTTTCAAGTCATGGGCAGGCTTTTCCATGTGTCTCCCTTAACCTAAGAGAAAGTTGGAGAATTAGGAGGAGTTAATAGGTCTGTGGCGAACAAGTGGAAGGAAGAAAATAGTACGGAAGGATAGAATTTGAGTGTAGTATGAAGAAATGGTTACCTTGATGCCCTTGGTAGGCTCATGGAACCTTAAAAATAATTCTGTATGCCCATCACTAGGACTTCTTACCAAAATAACACATTGGACACCATCCATTTTGAAAATGATAGTTTTGTTCAGTATAAATCCAGACCTCATGGTATAATATGAAACGAGTAAATATTATTTTCCAAGAATACAATGAAAAAACTTTACAAAGATGTATCTTCCATTCACTTACTGATTTAAACAGTGTAGGCTACCACGGAGTCCTAGTACTTTCAGCAAAAAACTTCACTCTCTAAGGAGGGCCCCACTGTGAAGAGCTCTCTGTACTAGAGGTGAGCCTAGACACAATCCAGGTATATGTTTCTCATTTAGTTGAAGTATGTGTATTTATTCCAAGATTAGTGGAGTGCTCGCTTCAGCAGTACGAATACCGATGCTGGTGGAAGTGGTACTTTTACTAGTAGTTCCTTAATTTCCCAAGGCTGGCAGAGAGGATTTTTCCTCTCTGACAGTTGTTTTGCTGAGACAGGACATGCTGTATTTCACTCAGAAATTGATGTTCGCAGTTTCTAACCATTTAACATACCCTGTCTCCATTAAGGGGCAGGCGAGGGGCAGCGATATTAAGGAGTGGGTAGAGGTTTAAACTTTCCATCACTGGTTTTCTTTCTTTTGGGATTCATTATGTAAGTTTACGTTTCTTTGGAAGCTCTGCTCCTCCGTCCCCTCATTAGTTACTGGGGTTTTCAGACACCGTTGCATTCCTTACCAAGCTTGGGCATTTGTTCCTTCTGTCTGCACTGCCTGCGTGTTGTTCCCTCTCCAAGTGAGAGCGTGAACTGACGCAGAGGCCTCCTCTTTCTTCTGCTTCGTGTTTCTTTCCAGTCTTTCCCCTTTCCTGCTCTCATCACTTCCTCCTTCCCTTGCCACTTTCCAACCTGGAGATTTTTTTTTTCTTTGATCTCCCTATAGCTTGACACCATACTACGTTTGGGGTTTAGGGACTTGAGGGAATCTGAACTCCTCTCCATGCTAACTTTAGGTGTGGTGGTGGAAGTGCATTTGCTTATTTTTGCAAGGTACATTCAGGATAGCATACGAAAACCTGTAAATTATAAAATGCAGGCATACCTCAGAGATATTGCAGGTTCGGTTTCAGACCACCGCAATAAAGTGAGTTGTTATCTTTTCGCTAGTGGAGGGTGGTCCCTTTAACGCAGGTTCCGTGAAGCACAATAAAGTGAATGAAGCTCAGTAACACAGTGGGCCTGTAAAATTCTTGTAACCTGTGCCCAAGTCAAGGAAGAATAATGTCAGTAACCTAGAAGCAAACTTGGATCCCTCTCAATTCCACTTTTTTTTACTTTTGTGATTATTAACTCCTTATTTTTCTGTACAGTTTTTCCTGTATGCATATGCATAACAGTTGCATCCCTATACAATATTGTTTAGTTTGACCAATTTTACAGGTCCATGAGTGGAATCATTCTGCAATGTATTCTTTAATGTCATGCTTTTTTCCACTCAATAGTAAGTTGGTAAGATTTATGCATATTGTTACATGCGGCTGTTACATGTAGATTATTTTCATTGTATAATATATCTGTCACATTTTTTGTCTCTCATATTTTACTGATTTGTTGGAGTTCTTTACACAAGAATCAACTTTTTTGGATTGCATATATTGCAAATATCTTCCACTCTGTGGCTTATTTTTGAAAATTCTTTAAGGTCTCTTTTGATGTGGAAATTCTTAATTTTAACATAGGCCTATTTATGAATCTTTTTCTTTATAGTGACCCTCCTCCCCTCACTGTCCCCTTCCCCAGGGTCATGAACATATTTGCCTCTTTCTCCTGTGTTGTCTTCTAAAAGTTTTGCAACCTTCTCCGGAGAGAGGCAGCATAGCTTTCATCAGACTGTCACCTGGGTCTGAGAATCCCTAACTGATCCACGGGCCCGGGAACATAACATCCTAGGTCCTCCCCTAATCACCTAGGAGAGTGGCAGGCATTAAATAGGGTTTAGTAAATATTAAAGAAACTATTCTTTTTACATGTCGATGTCTTTTTGGTAAACTCTGGAAGAACCGATGTAAGTTCTCTGATGTGTTTTGAGTAAAATAATCAATATTTTCCAGTATAAGGGCAGAGAATACAATTGGTTGTGTTCACCATGAACCAGGTGCCTCTCACACGTTAAACCCTGTTAAGTAGGTACTATTTCTCCATTTTATAATTGCAAAGATTGAGGCTCAGAAGCATGCGGGAAACTTGCCCAAGGTCCATCAGCTAGTAACTGGTGGAATGGGAACTTGAATTCTGGTCTTTCTGACCTGAAAGTTCATGTTTTTCCAAACTATCCTTCTGTTAATAACAGTCAGTTGTTATTAATGCCTTACATGATTATACTTGCATGTTCCTTGTTATATATTTAGAAATACTTTACATCTGTTTCTTTTTTTTTGCTTAGGAAGAGCTTTCACAGCCTAATTTAACTTGATTCTTAAAGATCCTAAGAGGAAAGAGGGTAAATTTTTTCATTCCCATATTAAAGATAAGTAAATTAAGACTCAGAAATATTGAAGGCTTACTCTAAAATACCACAGTTAGGTGTAACTGCAACTCAGTTGCCTCTATTGTGTGTTTCAAGTCATAAACTATAGTTTCTTTGAGTTGATTCATATAACATATGGCCCAGAGTTTGTGGCCCTAAGAAGTTAGTTTTTAGCCTTGGCTGGTGTGGCTCAGTGGATTGAGTGCCAGCCTTCAAACCAAAGGATCACCAGTTTGATTCTCAGTCAGGGTACATGCCTGGGTTGCAGGCCAGGTTCTCAGTAGGGGGCGTGCGGGAGGCAACCACACATTGATGTTCCTCTCCCTCTCTTTCTCCCTTCCCCTCTCTAAAAATAAATAAGTAAATAAATCTTTTTTTTAAAGAAGTTAGTTTTTGGAAACTGCATTAATTATTCTGGGCCACCATCTCCCTGTTTTTATTAGAATTCCAGAGTTGTCTAAATTTATTTTGAGAAAGTTATTATAAGTCCCATGGAAACTATAATATACTTACACATTTTTTAAAAATCGTGTACTCACTGAGTTCTTTTATCCCCATCAATATAATGAATGCAAAATGGTATAGAAAATATGGGGAATACAAAGGATATATGAAATAGTATCCCTGCTTTTAAAGAACATGTAACAGAATTAGGGAAGGTAAAACCAATACATTTTGAAGGAGATAAGTATATAGTCCTGACTGGTGTGGCTCAGTGGATTGACCACCAGCCTGTGAACCAAAAGGTCTCGGGTTTGATTCCCTGTCGGGGCACATGCCTGGGTTGTGGGCCAGGTCCCCATCTGGGGGTGAGACAGAGGCAACCAATCAAAGTTTCTCTCACACATCGAAGTTTCTCTCCCTTTCTCCCTCCCTTCTCCTTTCCCTGAAAATAAATAAATCTTTAAATAAAATAAAGGAGAAAAGTATATAAAGTAGTCCATGGTGACCGTCAGCTGGAGTTTAACATAAGAGAACCAGACTGCCTTGGTTCATTTCTTGGACCATCTCTTACTAACTGTGTGACTTTGGACAAATTACCTAACCTCTCTGTGCATCCATTTTTTTATTTATAAAGTGAGGATATTAATAAAACCTGTTATGTAGGGTTTGAAGGTTAAGTTAGTAATGTAACACCCTTAGAACATGACTAGGCACATAGTAAATGCCTATAAAATCATTAGCACTTATTTATGTTGTTAACCTAAAGATAAAAGGCCAGAGTTGGGAGGCAATAGTGCTTGAGATCCCCGCAAAATACAGTAGCTATTCGTGCAGCGTGGATTCAGGCAGAAACCCAAATAGTGTTCTTACTGTGAAGTAAAGGCAAGGGATGTTATGTGAAAGGGAAGGGGAATAATTACATGAATAGCAAGAAGGGATTTCTCTTGGTGTTAAGTCAGAGATGGAATTTCTATAAGTGCAAGTAAGCTAAGTTATTCTTTAGCTGTATGTGGTGCTAATTCTAAAGAATGTCTTTAGTTTTTAATCTGGTAGCCAGAATG